CCACATCGACATGTGGGACCGTAAACAGAATACGTATGCTATTTTACCGTGGATATGGACGCCCACAACAAGCTATGCTAAATTTGAAACATGTGGCAAGAGACGTTTTTGTATAATACACCTTCTGCTTATGTGTAAGTTAGAAATGGAACAGAAATAATACTGGTAGTTTTCGGAAAACATATACGGCAACCCTGTAGTGCATTTGCAATCTTAGGAAAGGGCCTAAAAGTAAATAAATATAGCGAAAGGACGCTTCGATATAAATCAAAAAGTGAGATCTTTCATTTTAAGAATATACTTATCTCTAATTTTCAGGAAAATCAAAACCCATTAAAGTTCCTTATTTTTACGCTGAGTTAACCTTGAAAAAGGATAAAGTATGCAGATATTAGTCAGTCGAAAATCCAAGTAAAACGTTCTTTAAATGGGTAACCTATCATAGGAAATTCTCCAATTGTTCTCACATATATAAAAATCCCATTTTTTGGGCATCCATTTTTCTCGGCATTGAGTTTTTATGTTTGGATGAATACAAATATGACCCAAACCTTCATGCTCAAAAGTATCCAAAAACTCACTAATCGATAAATGCTTTTAAGAACTATCTCAGATTGAAGGTTTTGATAAGCACGTAAAATCGAATCTAAATTTATGGGGGAAAAGCTTGAAAAAGGGGAAAATCGTTAAGTATTCACCAGAATTTTAAGGAAAATCTCAAAATAACTGTAATCCAATACCAAAAATACCTATAAATAAATTCAACGAAAAGAAAGTGTTTTTAATATACCAAAAATGGCATGGTTACGATTTCACTTGGCAATTCTATGTATATTATGTGCTCACAGTTACAGCGATTTTTAACCTTTTCTAAAACGTTGTTATTTAGATATGCCTTTAAATTCGCTTTAGTTTGTTCATTATTATTCCAAAGTTGTCATATATGCGCAAATGCCGGTTTGCGAGAGATTACCTATCTTTCGTCAGCCTGATTGGTCTGCTAGGATTGCATGGCAAAACTCCCGTATGCGGAATAAGGACAGTTCGATTCGAGAATGGGTCAGACACCTGAAATGGCCTGCAATTTCTAATGACTAGGACCATTTTTTGAAACATACTATGGGAAATATCGGAACCAGGACACCTAGGGGGCCGGTGGACCTTTAGTAGCGCACTAGGTAGAAAAAAACGACAAAAAGGTGGCGTTTCAATCCCTGCCCACAGCAAACATTTCTTCACTGAACTAGTCCTCATATTCATCATTGTCTGTCCAAACAAAAAAAATGTTCTAGTAATCAGGAATTACACAGTATCTTAAGCGCCTGGTGTATCTCACGGTTATTACTCGATCTACTCCCAGGCTTATACTTGGGCGAGCGAGCGAGTCTGTTCAGAGTTTCCTAAACAGTCATTTTATTGTTTTCATCATCAACGGAAGAGGACGAAGAAAGGGCAATTCCTGAGACCAAGTTGTACTTAAGCTCACGTTTCGAAAACATTCTCGCTTTCGTTGTCAGAGCGTAGTGTCTATTTTCCTGCTGGGTCGATTGAGTGTGTCTGACCGCTAGACGCATGTTATAACTGTGCCCGATGCTCGCACGTCGATCGATTGTTGGTGGCTGCTTGAATTGTTCTCGCCCTCGTGGGCAACTTTATGCAATGTGTCACATCGTTCGTGTGCCTTCTGAGCGTTTCCAGCCAGCAGGAGAATAGACACTACGCTCTGACGATGACAGCGAGTGTTTTCGAAACGTCAGCTTAAATACAACTTGGCCTCAGGAATTGCCCCCTCTTCGTCTTCCTCTTCCGAGGATGATGAAGGCAATATTATATCTGGACCTAGAATATTTACGCATATTAACAGTCATTTTAAAAGCATAAACGTGTCCCCAGTAAGACCGATGTCTGCTAGCTTAAAGGAATAAGGTAGACCATAAAATGGGCTTGGACGTCAAGTAAAATACTCTAATGGAATTTGGGTAAGTGCAAGTCGCCAGTACAATGCATTTTGGCTTGTCGGGATAGGTGAGCGTAAAGCTCCTAAAAACGTACGCAGAGACAGGCACTGCGCTAACTTACCCTGTTCAGGGTTCGGCCTAGAAAGAGGGTGCCATTACGACTGGCAAGGGAGGGATAGCGTCGCTGGAGGAAGGAGGCCTCATAAGCTAGGGCGTCTTCGATTGACTTTCCTGAATTGATATCGGCCTGGGAACGATTTACGACACCAATAATTCCCAGCTTCACGGGGATGATGCGATTCATGAGGAGGTCGTGGGCATCAGTGCCTTGATCCATGAGATCCAGTTTTGTCAGCACACACAGTGTTCGCCGGCCTGGGGTTAAAACGGAGGTGAAAGTCGGGTACTCTCGACTAGCAAACAGGTCGCAAAAAGACTTAGAAGGTAGGTTAAGGACGTTTGATATAGGTGCCGAAGCCACCTCGAAATGAATTAGCAATTCGACTTATGCACTGCGAACGACATTGCTGTCACCACAAACAACGTCTTATCTATGCGCTCTGCGTGGTATACAAGACACCAAGTAGACCGAATTAAACGCTTAGAACAAAGTCTCCAAACATCAAAGGAAATTTGATGATCACGAAGGTTTTGAAAATATCCTCATGTTTAACTTTAAAAGTCTAATTGGCAAACATATGTTTTCAGAAATTCATCATAGAGCCGGTACAACTGCATATATAATGAAAATAGTACAGTTGGACAGGGTTAATAAGTGTTTTATGATTACAACTGATTGTTTTCATGTCACCCGCATAGCGAGATCGGTATGTAGAGGTCATTAGAATAGGCTGTATTGGTTATGAGTCAAGTACGTGGAGAGAAAATTACTGTTGTTTGAACGGAGTGATCGCCACCTGGCGTCGGCGTCGGCCACGGAAGTGATAGTGCCTGTATTAGCGTCTTCTGACAACACAGCACTGGATTCGCAAGCCGTATAGCCACTGCCTTGGCTGTTGCTAGTACCCGTTGACATAAACCCTTGCAGAAGGTAATTACTGCATGTCGATAGCCAGAAATGAGTGTATTAAAAATCTGGCCGCCTAATACATCGTATTCGAACGGGCATCTCAGCCAAAAATGAACTGCAGGAAGCCTCGCAACATCCTCAGTGAATACTTGCCGCTACATTAAGCAGAAGTAGCAAGTTTGATCGCCAATTTACGTGCGTCATTTGTCAAGCCTGTCGCCATCGTTACAGATTCCATTCCCTGCATGATTTCGTTTGGAGAGAAAGAAATTGTGGTTAGAAGAGTGTTTAGACACAAACTGGATACAACCGGAAGGCGATATTCATCGCTGCAGCTTCCGACTCAGCTCATCGTGAGTCTCTGTGGCGGGTAATGGAGCTGGACGGTCTGCTGCAAGTCATCACCGTCCCACCGCTGCGCGCAATTCCTTGACCACGACAATCTCTTCTAACCGTTTAACATTCGGTTCGACGATAGAAGCGAACAGACGATTTCCAGGAAA